CCCCAAAACCCCAAAACCCCAAAACCCCATGAGTAAGCATAAGTGTTTAAGGAAAATTAGAAAAACTATAATCAATACATTTCGTTTTAATATAATAAGAATTAGTTATCCTGCAAATTAATAAGATTTATAAATTACTTTATCAAACCGCCAAAATTAATGGCATTGATGTTTGAGGAAATAGGAGAAAATTTTTGCTGTATTAGATGAGGGTTTATCAATGATATTCTTTCTTTAGTGTTTATTTTCAAATAGCTTTTTATATCCATACTTTCTGTGTTTCAAATTAAAGTTTCAGATTACTTATCCATGCTAGAGTTTTGAGATTTAGGAGACATAATAATATCTCTCAGTTATTTATTATAGATTTTTAAGAGTTTGACTTCTCAAAAAATATTTTGAATATTGTCGTGAAACTTGAGAATACTAAATAAAAAACAATTGAAAATAAGACTAGAGATATTAGGAAGTCCAGCACTTCTCTTTTATAACTCGTTGAACAATGTGAATGAATATTTTCTAAATTTATATTGAATGGGTTATCCTACTTTAAAAGTAGTCATAGTTTATTAAAAGTTAAAGGATATGATAAAAACATTTAAGTGAATTATTTTAAGATTTCAACCCGTTTTACTTGTCAGTCTTACTCTCATTGCAATCTTTGTTTTATCATAAAATTAAAGCCGATGAAGATAACTGTCTAAGTTTACCTTGAGCTCTGCTCTCAGCTAATTTGACTTCAACTCTATCTTAAGAGGATAAAGATTAGGCTAGTGTCTTAGGTTTAGGTTTAAACAGATCGCAACCACATCTAATAACGGATGATCCATTTTATACCGTGCATTTAAGAGTGCTTAAATAATTGGGAGCGCATTTTGGAGCGCAAGTACCGGCGTTCATTTTACATATTTCATCATTGGTTAAGCAGTTCATATTACTCAATAAAAGAAGTGCACTCAGAAGAAGCATGGTAATTGTTTACATGGAGATTTTCATTGATTTAATTTGATTTAAGAAATTGATTATTAATTATTTTTGTTAGCAGTTTAATTACTGTTTTCCTCCAATCATCAATTATATTATTAAAGGGGTTTTGGGGTTTTGGGG